TTTTTTTTAGTAGAGACGGGGTCTTGCTCTTGCCCAGGCTGGTCTCGAACTCCTTAGCTCAAACGGTCCACCTGCCTCGGCCTCCCAGAGTACTAGGATTATAGGCGTGAGCCACTGTGCCCAGGCATAAATCTCAGCTTTTTTCTGTAAGAACTAGATAAAGGACTTGAGAACAGAAAGAAACCTTTACGTTATAATAAAACAAAGAATTATTTTGTCTTTGAACTGAGGATCTATAGTGTGACAGTACACAGTAAGCATTTCTGAAAAGAACAAAGGAGCAAGGGAAAAAAAAAGACGTCATCTCCCCAAATTCCCCATCTTCACCTCTCTCCATAACTCACTGAATGAAACGTTTGCTACCTGGGGCTTGCGTTCATCCTTATTTCCTGAGTTATCACTAACTGTTGCTTCTGAGGCTTCACTTCTCCAAAGACTTCTAAAAACAAGATAGAGACACCTATCTCTAACCCTTCGTAGATTACTTTCTTTCCTGGTGTGTTCTCTATATTAACACACGTCAGCTTCTTTGCATGCTGCAGAAGGCGGCAGAAGCTGTACGATGCCGAGGCCTTAACACCGCACAGTCGCAGACTAAAAGCTCAAGACACTTTTTGGGGGGTAACATTTGAAATGAACTTTCCAACTGCTAACTGTGGCTTGTCTGCAGTTTTGTCAAGTGCAGTAGGGGAGGGATCACCCTTCGCACTTCTGCCTTTGAATTTCGGATCTGCAATATTTGCAGCAACGTCAAATGGCTGATGCCGACAGTCTTTCCTTATCTTAGAAAGTCTTTCATGTTACTTTCCTTTGTACCGTCACCAAAAATACATGTAGGTGAACTAAAGACAGTTGATTTTATCCGGCCTCTAGAAAACAAGTGACAAATGTAGTGATTGCTAAAGACTGCCGCTGTAAGGAGGGAAGGGAATCTTCCTGCATATTTTTTTTATATACGCATCTGGAGGGAATAAAGGTCAGATTAGACTAAATGAACATCTTATTTTAAACATTTTTATTTTTCTACATCTTCAGGGAGATTTATAATCATTTAAAACCCTCTTAACCTCTTCAATCCTCTGCTGCCTGAAGGATTTCTAGTTTTCTCCTGCGTCTGTCCCTGGCCTCTGATCTACTGGCTTCCCTCCTCGCTTCTCTCACTGTCAGCTCGCAAACCTCACCTGGTTTCCGCAGAGACTGAAGGTAAAGTGATGGAAATATTTCAGTCCTTTGGAAGTGAAGCTTGACCCTCCAGCCAGAGTGACAGGGTTTGCCAAAGTGGAGAAGTTGTAGCTGAAAGTCCTGGCCGGGGTGTTGCGTGTGAAGGTGCAGTCGTTGTAGCACAGAGAGTGGATCTGCGGGGAGAGACAGCGTCGGGCCAGTTGGGTGGGCAGGGCCTTGAGGGGCCGCAGCAGAGACAGTAACAGTTTTCTCCCCAGCTTGCTCCAGCCCAAATGGGGTGAAAGAGGAGGAAGAAAGGATTAGGGGTGGGCATGAAAAGCAGTGAAGCAGGCACCAGTGGGATCTATGTACATCTTGCCATTCAATTATTAGCACATATATGATGTACGAACCCAAACCTGTTATTTTCCAGTAGGTAGTTCAGTCGAATTCTATAGCCTTGTCCCTGTGCCTAGATTATAGAACCTTCTCAAGACACAGGATAACCCTTCTTACTTCCAAGCAGAAGACAGTGGGGCACTAACCAGAAGAGGGGTGCCCAGGATGGCAGAAGAGAAACTACGGGTCTTTCCCCCTCACGCCCTGAACGCTGCTCCCTCTTTCTCAGGTTCTCTGTAGGAAACTGGACTCCAAAAGGGGTTTTACTTCCCATAAACCCATTCCTCGCCCTGCTTTAGGGTCCTCGTTCAGCAGCAGCCTTATACACCGCCATTCCCTCCCATCACAGCAGGGGGAGCTCCAGGTTGTGGCAAAGGTTGTGGCAAAAGTCCAGGGTGCCCAAAAGAGGCCGCCAGGGATCTGCAGAATCCTTGCACTTGTTGCAGAGCTGAACTGAGACACGTTTGCAGAGCACATATAAATAAGGCCTTACATTCTACCCAGACTCCAGTCGGTTGAAAAAATATATA